AAAAAAAAAAAAAAAAAAAAGCACTCACCGACGGGCTTGTGGCCCAGCATGGCGTGGAAGAGGCACACCTCCACTTCGGGGCTCCACACCACCGGCACGGGCAGCAGCGGCGGCGGAGGCGGCGGCGGAGGAGCCGCCGATGTGGCTGACATCGCGGCCGAAGCGATAGCAGCCGCCGCGTCCTCCGACGACGCTTGAGACCCGGGCTCCATCGCGGGCGGAGCAGGCCCAGGGCCCAGGCCAGAGCAGGGGGGCTTCACCTCCGCTGCCCCAGCCGAGCTCTCCGCTTCGCCCATGGCCGCCGCCGAGGCCCGTGCGGACGCCCAGCGCCCCCTGGCGTCCGTGCGGGGCTCCAGTATCAATGGCTGAGGATCCGCTCTTAGCATCTCAGCTGCCCCTAAAGTGTTTTTCCCCCTCAAGAGGCAACAGGACTTTCTGGTGTGAGAAGCCAACACTCCCCCTCCAGTCCTAGAAGAAGTATTTTGAGGAATATTTAAAAAAGGCAGGACAAAATATTTTCCTTAAAAGGGAGATAAAAAATCTTAAGGGAGACAGAACTTCAGAGCTCCTGCTCCCAAGCAGATGCTGAGTTCTGGAGCTTTGAGTTTCTGTCTCCCTTAAGATTTTTTTTTTTTTTAATTTCTCTTTTAGGGGAAATATTTTATCCTGCCTTTTTTTAAAAAAAATATTCCTCAAAATATTTCATTCTTCAAGGAGGGGTGTATGGGTTGGCTTCCCACACTGTTTTTTTCTTTGAAGATGTTTTGCTTCTCATCCAAGAAGCTTCTTCAGCTCTGACTGGATGGTGGGGAATGGAAGGATTTGTATTCCTTGCAGACAGCTGGTCATTTGCATCTTTTTAGAGAGCCATTGAGGCCACTTGGAGGCTTATCTGTGTCCTCAGGGTCACCTGAGTACAGGTAGTACTTGGGTTACGGCCACAACTGAGCCCAAAATGTGTGTTGCTAAATGAAACATTTGTTTAGTGAATTTTACCTCACTTTACGACATTTCCATAGTTGTTAAGTGAATCATTGCAGTTGTTAAGTGAGTCTGGCTTCCCCATTGGCTTTGCCTGTCAAAAGGATGCAAAAAGGGATCACGTGACCCTGGGACATTGCAACCGTTATAAGTATGAACCAGTTGCCAAGCATCTCAATTTTGATCATGTGATCATGGGGATGCTACCCTGGTGTGAAAAACTGTCATAAATCCTGTTTTTCAGTGCCGTTGTAAGTTCGAACAGTCACTAAATGAACTGTTATAAGTCGAGGACTACCTGTAGTGCAAATGGTGTGGAGCCTTCCTGGAACTGCTGAAAAGACCGTGTTTTAGACTGGAGATAGATGATGTATCCCTCCCCCTCTGTTGAGGTAGGGCTGTTCAGTTTTGAGATAGATGGCCTCTTTGACCCCTCTTTCAAACCAGTGGTCCTCTCTGTCCAAAATGTGGTCTTTGCTGTCTTCAAAAGAGTGGCCGTTGTCTTTTAAATGCAGGTGAACGTTGAAAATAAATTTAAAATAATTTATCTAAACAGAAACTATTACCATTATAGGGCAGGTTTTAAGGTTTAATTACTGGATTGGACAGCCATTTGTCCAGAACGGTATGTGAAGGAGTACTTGAGATGGGTGTGTGTGTGTGTGTTATTGCAGCAAACATTGTGAAGATGTCCTAATGGAAGGTGACAGTATTGGTTCATCACACAATCAGCCAGATGTTCAGACTGGATTTGGCATTTTTTATCCAGTTACTGAGTTCAAGGACCTGGGATAGGCAGATGTTGATGCTTGATGGTGTTAAAGGTATCATCCCAGGAAGTAAACTGTTCCAAGTGAGACTGCTTTTTTCAGTTGACTGAAGTATTGTTATTATTAATTCCAGAATAACAATAATGTTATCTTCCATTATGATTAGATGTGGGGTCAATTAGATTAGACAGATTTCCATAGCTGGAATATTTACAGTATTTATTTAATACAACATTTTTGTTAAATATGGATGGGAATAACTCTTGTTATACCTGAGAGGTAAGGCAAGGAAAACCTATTAGTTCTTTCTTTATTTGTCAGCATCCAACCGGGGTGGATTTTTATCTTTAAAGTTACTCCTATTTGATATTTTTTTCTTTTTCCATTTTTTGTACACAAGCCTTTTTTTCTTCCTTTCACTATTAGTGTTGGATGTTCGTTTTTCTCTTTTTTTCTGTTTTACATTTTATTTTTGTTGATTAAAAACAATACGTTAAAAACATTGCTATCTTCCACATTTATATGGAGGTATTCTGATACAGAAGCCTAAATTAATTCTTCATTTAGAATGTTGGAAGTTTGATTTGATTTGTTTTGCAAAGTTTATAAAACCACCCCAAGTTTTCTTTCCAGGCCAAAGTATGTACTATAAGTGTTTATAATGCAAGTTGAGTGGATCTAATCCATGAAACATCCCTATTATTTCATTTTGGTTTAGATTTATAACGGTGGAACAGCATCTATCTTATTGTGGAGATTAACTGTTCCTGTAGTTTGTTATAAATTCAAAATCTTAATCCCCCAGTTGACATTAAACTAAATAACAATACTCTATACACTAATACCAGAGATACCAAATTTCAGGGCAGTAAAATGAACTTATTAAGTAAAAAGGAAAAGGGAAAGAATATTGGCAAAACCATCCCTTTGTATCGGAAAGTGAATTAAACCTTAAAACCTGCCCTATTATGGTGACAGCTTCTGTTTAAATAAATTATTTTATTTATTGGAGCCTTGGATGAATTAGGAAAATGAAAGTAATTGCCAGGTAAAAGACACCTAAGCAAAAATCTTTTCCTTTCCATCTGCCATTCATCATCTTTTCGATGTTGAAAACTTTTGAAAGTTAAGAAAACATTTTGGCTAAATAGAATAGAATAGGATTTTTATTGGCCAAGTGTGATTGGACACACAAGGAATTTGTCTTTGTGCAAATGCTTTCAGTGTACATAAAAGAAAAGATAAATTCGTCAAGAATCATAAGGTATGACATTTAATAGTCATAGGGTACAATAAGCAATCAAATCATACTAGAAAACAGTCAATATAAATCGTAAGGATACAAGCGACAAAGTTACAGTCATACAGTCACAAGTGGGAGAGGATGGGTGATAAGGAGTGATGAGAAGATTAATAGTAATAGTAGTGCAGACTTTGTAAATAGTTGGACAGTGTTGAGGGAATTATTTGTTTAGCAGAGTGATGACGTTTGAGGAAAAACTGTCCTTGTGTCTAGTTGTTCTGGTGTGCAGTGCTCTATAGCATCGTTTTGAGGGAAGGAGTTGAAACAGTTTATGTCCGGGATGTAAGGGGTCTGTAAATATTTTCACAGCCCTCTTTTTGACTCGTGCAGTATACAGGTCCTTGATTGAAGGCAGGTGGGTAGCAATTGTTTTTTCTGCAGTCCTAATTATCCTCTGAAGTCTGTGTCTGTCCTGTTGGGTTGCAGAGCCAAACCAGACAGTTATAGAGGTGCAGATGACAAACTCAATAATTCCTCTGTAAAGCTGTATCAGCAGCTCCTTGGGCAGTTTGAGCTTTCTGAGTTGGTGCAGAAAGAACATTCTTTGTTGTGCTTTTTCGATGACGTTTTTGATGTTAGGTGTCCATTTTAGGTCATGTGATATAGTAGAACCTAGAAATTTGAAGGTCTCTACTGTTGATACTGTGTTGTCTAGTATTGTAAGAGGTGGTAGTATGGGAGGGTTTCTTCTAAAGTCTACCACCATTTCTATGGTTTTGAGT